TGCACTAAGGCAGATAAAGTCTTACCGTTGTCACTAGACATTTTGTCTGCACTGATTGGGGTCAGAACTTTCTTTGCTCTCTTTTGACAGAATCAGTGACAGACGTGGCTCAGCTGATGGGATTTATGGTCTTCAAAAATGGAAGGCAAAAAAAATGTATTAGACAATTTTATTACCGGTTCAAGATCTAGATTGTTTACCAAAATGCAATGCTGGAATGGATTTGTGTAAGTAGAGAACCTGCTCAACTACAGTCTAAGCAGGTTTTAATCCACTGTTTCTAAACACTTTCTGTCATAAGTGAGGAATCTGTGAAAGAATGATAATCCTTATTTCTTCTCCTGATAAAGTTCACTGAAGCAAGATATACTTCAATGGAGACTTATTTCTGTATAATGAAATGAACTGGGTTGATGCAGAACTTGGCAAAAGGCTTCTTTATCACAAATCATCCTCTCTTTTTCCAAAATGAAATCTGTGTTCAGACATATCACATTCTTTAGCTAAACCTCACTTCCTTCCATGTTTCCCCCAAAAGGTTTAAACTAGAAGAGTAGAGTGCCCACACCTGGCAGCATAGGGAAGGAATGGAGTGGTCTGATGGATGGTTAGGAAGTCTGGGAGCGGTGGGCTGCAAATCCAAAGAATGAGCTGTGTCCTAGAATCAGAGAATTATAGAATGGTTAGAGTTGGAAGGGACCTTAAAGATCATGGAGTTCCAACCTTGTCCTATTGCCTGTGACTTTGGAGAAGAGACCGAGCCCCACCTCTCTACATGTTTTCATATTTGCTTGTCTGGAGATTTTTTTCATCAGCCTGTGTATGGATTTAAGGTATTTTTTGGATGTGGAAAGGCAAATTACAACTACATTGGTATCTTATTCAAAAAGAAAACTGTTGAATAAATATTCTTTTTTGAACTAACTGTTGAAATAACAGCTAGAAATACAGGGGCTCAGATGTTGTCATTTGGGATAAGCCTAAAAATGCTTTACAACCAGCTCAGGTAGCAACATAAACTTGCCCTCTCTGGCAACACAGATTCAGGCTGAAGTTCCACAGAAAGCAATGGGGAGTTTTGCTGAACTATCCAGACCCATTGTACCAGATGGTACCGTATGGAAGTAACACTGATCCTTTGACTCTGTTGATTTCTAATTAGTTTTCTAGTAATTAATATAGTTTGCAGGCCTTGCATGAACTCTGCAGATTACCCATTCATGTGAATGATTAACTGAAAGGGGATTAATCCTGGCATAAGTTCAACCAAAAAGAATTTTCCAGCCTGAAAATCTTCTCCATCAGACCAGTGTATGGTAATAGAGAATGAAACATTAGGTTTTTATTTGTGTAGTTCCATTTAAAAAAGATTAACTCAATACCAGGGTGTTAAAAATACCTGAATTGTAGATATAAATACGGATTTGTTGCGATAGATCTTTTAGTCACACTTTTTATGGAAATCAAAAGGCATGTTCAATACTAACTCAATACCAGGGTGTTAAAAATACCTGCATATAAATACAGATTTGTTGCAATAGATCTTTTAGTCACACTTTTAATGGAAATCAAAAGGCATGTTCAATATGAGATAGTAGTTGGAAAAATGTATTTATAATTGCTATTATTTTATAGTAGGTAAGGTAAATTCTGGTTGTGATAAAAGGATATGTTTTAGAATTCTATGTTTAGCAGCTCATGTTGGTATATGCAAGGTTGAAATTTTTATAGCTGTACTAAGTCAGTGGCAACAGGGGCTGTCACACATCTCTGCCCACAACCAGTTCATCCAGCACGTGCGCTTGAAAGATTGTCCTGCCAAGTGTGCGACCCCTTCAGGTCAGGCAGAGCCCACCTTTGCATGTTGGCACCAGAGCTTCATAACTTCATTTTTTGTTCTGTTTTAAAGTGTGAATGTACAGGGAAATGTCAAAAGCTTCCACAGTCTTTCCACCCATAAAAAGTCTCACTGAGCTTTGGGGACTGTTCAGGGTTACTCAGAGGTGTTTGCGTTTCTGAGCCCCAGGTTTTAGCTGGTTTCTTATGTTCTCAGAGCATCTTCAACCCCTCCTGTGATCAGTCTGTGGTTGTAAATAAATACAGAATAAGGGGTTGGATTTAGTTTTCATAAACCGGTGAGATGTATTTCTAACAGCTGCCTCAGGAACTACTGTAGGCTGATGTTTTATTAAAATCACAATGTTGGATGTTTATTTTGTGGGAAATGATGGGGATACTCGGATACCTTGGACCAAATTGAGTCCTCAGGCATGTACACTGGTGTCAGTGCAGGGAAGTCTGGAATGAGTTCGATCCAAAGTATTGTTAGTGTTGCACAATATTTCTGAGAGTATAAGAATATAAGGAAGAAGTATTTATCCAGATGGCAGCACTCTGCCCCGCTCTACCTGGAAACTCAAGCAATATTTCCTACCCCAAGTTCTGCAGAGCATTTCCCAAAATCATTAAATTCTATCTAAATATTGGGCCAAGTGTCTCCCTGGTATAACTGCAGTGATTGTGCAACAGCAAGGATGGGTTTAGTCCAGCATGTTTAGATTCTCTACTATTTTAACTAGATGCTTGGGGTTTTGTTTTCCTTTCTTGGGTAATAAGGGCCATCCAAAACAGACGTGCTACTTTGCTTGGGTTTCCTTGAAAGAGACACTGCTAAAGGGAGAGGAAATCCCCAAAATGATACTCGGTGATTAAGTACATAGAATATAGGATTTCGGTGTTTACAAATCCTTTTTTTCAAATGAACTTGTGGCACTAATCCTCTAATGGCATTATTTCTTTGGAATATATGCCGGATTAAGGAGTCACAATGAGGCAAAGTACAAAAATCCACATTAATCTCTCACCAGTGGATGCTGTGTGGGATGCAACTTTAACTATTTTGTTCCAAAATTGGTTCTGTTCCTAACCTTGCCCCAGGTCTCCACAGAGGGAAGAGTGGATATAAACAAGTGTGACACTGAGCGCTCGGCAGATGGTCACAAACCATTTAACTGGATAAAAAGGGGAAGGCGTTTATTATTTTTAAACTCCAAAAGCTAAGCCTGCCCTGTGCTGCCCATGACGTACTGCAAGAAGCAGGGCAAGAAGACTGCAAGGGCAGGAGCAGGACACATGTCCAGAAGGGTGCCGTGGAGGTGACACTGACCAACACAGCAAGGGCCAGTCTAGCAGCTCATGGGGACATGGCTGGGCCTGGCTGTCGTGATATATCATGTGTTGACAGCAGAGCCTGGGCTTACTGCAAAATAAAGCTCCTGTTTTCAGCCCGTGCAGCCTCCTCACTCTAGTTATCCTGTTTTGGGGATAACCCTGCTGTCCCCTCGTCCCTCATAGCTGCTATGAAAAAAAGGTAAAGATTTGCTTCCTGGGAAGAGGCAATTAGGTCACCGCGAAACAACATTTCCCTTCTCACGGGGTTCCAGGGATGCTGTGGTGGTGCCGTGAGGTATTTTCACTATCATTCAGCAGCCTGAAGTGGTGCAAGATTTTCTGAATGGGCAACACATCACCTAACACGCTGATGTCAGAGGATTCGAATTAGCCCAGCGTAACCACTGTAATTGGCGCTTAACGTGCTTAAGGATTTCCCTGGTTCCAGGGAGCGGAGATTATCAGATATTCCCATTCCACGTTCTCATTGAACTGCAGCAGGCAGTGAGTCTTTGGGCCAGCAGAGCCTGGCACATGTGCACAAACCTGGGTTGCTTTGTCTCCAATTCATCCCCAGCCATCATGTTAAGCACAAGTAAAGTGGAAAAGAGTTGTCAAATTCAATGAGTTCCTTACCAACAGAAATGCTTGGGATTTTTGATAGTCTGCATAGCTGAGATGCCTGAACGCATGCAGTGAACTAACACGTAGGGAAGTGGTCCTTAGGTCTGTAGTGAGATGCTAGTTTCAGAAATTGGGGTAGGACAGTGTCAGAAAACCCTTAAACCAATTTGGAGACCCCTTCTGTTTGGGACTAGAAATGTGCCCTCCATTCCTGCAGGGAGAGACGGTTCATCACAGTGTTTTTGTGCGTTTTTTCCTGCTGAAATGTTTCCTAGCACGGTACCTTACGTGGGGAGGAGGATTTTCCTGATGTTCACTTTACATTTTTCTTCTTTCAATTTCCTCCCGTTGGCTCCTAGCAGTGCCCTGTGTCTGATTCCACCCCATCTGAATCATTTGTACCTTGACAGACTGAGTCAGGGCTGTCCTCATGGCTGGTGTCTGCTGGTCGTGGTTTGGGCTGGGCTGGCCACTAAAACAGGTGCTTTCAAAGGAGTCTGTTAGTTTTGTTGACCAACTTTATCATTGCCCACCAAAAGCACTCCAGTTTGCAGATGTCTTTAGTGTGTACATATCAGTGGATGGTCCCTTGTGTTTAAGGAAGTATAAATTATATTGCAGCAGGTGCAGACAGAGGGTGAGCAGGAAATGATAAAGCAAGTGGAGAGTTCACCACACGAGGGGAGACAAGAGTTTGGTTGGTTTGGGCTTACAAAAGTGAGGACCCCATAAATTAAAAAGAATCATCAAAACTAAAGAGATTCAACATAAAAGGCCATGAGGTTGTTTATGCTAGAAATTATATCATTTACCATCGTGGAAACCAGATTTTAGGGCAGACAGACAGATGAAAGATGGTGTAGTGAAGTTTGATGTATATATACGTGTATCAAAGGATTTTATCATGATGTTGGATCGTGCTGTTGCCCACAAGCAGATTGTGCCAGATGATGCAGTGTGCCCTCTCCTCTCACATCTCCCATGTCCCTAGAATGAAGAGGAGTGCACTAGTCCTCTGTATTCCTTTTTCTTACTGAACTATGTGCAACCTCCCGCTGACAGCAGAGCTTTACTCAGCCTCCTGCAGTGTTTCTGACCAGTATGGACAAAAGGGGTGGGAAAACAAAGAGCTTTTCTTCAGGTAGTTTTGTAACCTGATCTATAAGGTGACTCAGCCTCTTCTAACAACAGCTGTTTGAGGGACATGCAGTGGTTAACGTGCAGTATTGAAGTCTGGGCTGCCACTTCCTTAATTTTGCTTTGTGAGTGATTTAAGCTGGGACATGATCAGAGCATTTAAATGGACTTCTCCACAGCTCCCCAGAAGAGAGAGGCCGGGGACCGCAGGCTCACGCTGGGAGACAGCACAGAGGAATAGAGGCATCAGGAAAGAGCTGACAAACCCCTCGTGCAGAGCTGCTGCTCTCAAACTGATGGAGACAGAAACTTTTGAAAGAAAACTACGTGGGAAGTTCCATTAAGGAAAGAAGTGAGGTTTTGTTTGCATGTCATGGCTCACTTCTCCTGCAAGCCCTGAATATATTGTAAAACGTGAAAGAGATCCTGAAGTGCACTGATGGAAAAGACAGGTATGTTTCTTTGTTTAAAATACTACCACTCTACAGCATGAAAACACAGCCGGGGTAACCAGCATTGCTTTACAGCTCAGGAAATGTGTGTGTCCAGCTGTGTACATTGTTTTGTATAATTTTTGTACTTATAAGAAGTTCAGCTGTGACAGGATCTTAAGAGGAAAACTTTAAAAAATGCATCAGCTTTTCGTAACTGTAGGTGCTCTGCCCTTGAACATGGGTATCATGGCAGATAATTTCCAACACAATAAGAAAATTTACATACATCTATATTAATCAGTATATATACCCACATTTATACACACCCACAAAGTGTATGTATATAAAAACTGCATTTGCTTTATTTTGACATTTTCCCCCTGACCTGGCTCTTGCTATAACATGAAAACTACCTGTGCAAGTCACAGGATTTCTGATACTTCTTCATGTGTTTCTCTTTTTTGGAAAGTTGATGCCAGTGGCATTCTATATAACTGGTGGTTATTAGAATGATTGTGTTTGTGTACTCTATGGATGAGGGTGGAATTTGTGGAATGAGCTCTGTGACGGGTCTGTACTGGGGAAGAGGGAATCCATGCAAACACAGGAATCCATTCAGGAGCTCTGGGATATTACAGGACCCAGGTCTGAGTGCAGGTCATTCCCCCTGCGGTCAGTGGCACACGGTAGGGCTTGATACAGCTTTTCCACGTAGTCCTCACAAAGGGAAAGGCAATGAATGCCTGCTTAGTTTTTATGACTGCTCCATTAAAAGTGTGTGTGTGTAGGTGGATGCTAGAATTAAAACTAAACAAAGATCATTAAGTTAATGTTTTGAGAAAAACAAAGCCACTTCAGAATCACCGGATGATGCTGTAGCTTGCGTAGTATAAACAGAAATAAGGAAGTAATGTGTATAAATTATAAAGTCAAACTTTAATTTACCTGTGAGTTAGTCACTGAAACTGAGGTCACTTTACTACTGAACTGTTCCAGAGAAGTTACCTGGGGGGCTTGTTTTCTCCCAGCAGTGGCCCACTCCCAGTGCTCATAGCTGTGCTATCTGGTTTTTCCCTGCACTATCACTTCAGCTTTGCTCTGAGGTTAATGGGGTTTTGTTTGCACGTTCCACCCCGAGCTTGGGAGTGTGTGACATTGCTCAGGCAAGGATGTCCTTGTACTCCCTGTTGCTCACCTTCTTCTCTCACCATCCTGACTGCTGGTCTGGCCTTTGGCATGAAGAATCACTTTGGTGTCAAGCTTAACCTGGCACCCCCTCAGAATGGGAACATCTCAGCCTGGCTTCTTTAATGTGGCCACAAGACTGAACCTGGGGATGAAATGACAGAGGAAGCAGCAGGTTAGTCCTGGTGTTCAGGTGGGATGGCCTTAGGGGCAGTCTGCAGTAACAAGGAAACAGAGAGTGATGCTTGTACCATTGAGGACTGGGACCAGTGAGTCTGCTGTGCAAATATTGAGCATTACCAGTTCCTTTTGGAGGAGGAGAAATGAATTCAGAGTCTGGTCCACTAAACAGTGCCTTTCTGATATTAGCACAGAGGGAATGGTAGGAAATTCTCAGCACACCTGCTATTATGAGAGAAGGTAAGCAAGAGTAAATGTTACTAAAACTAAACTGAGAGGGGATCTCCTCAATGCTCATCAATATCTAAATGGCTGAATTCAGAGTCTGGTCCACTAAACAGTGCTTTTCTGATATTAGCACAGAAGGAATGGTAGGAGATTCTCAGTGCACCTGCTGTTATCAGAGAAGGTAAGCAAGAGTAAATGTTGCTAAAACTAAACTGAGGGAATCTCATCAATGCTCATCAATATCTAAATGGTGGTTGTCAAGAGGATGGGGCCAGGCTTTTTTCAGTGGTGCCCAGCAACAGGACAAGGGGCAACGGGCACAAACTGGAACACAGGAAATTCCTTCTGAATGTAAGGAAAAAACTTCTTTACGTTGAAGGTTCCAGAGCCCTGAACAGGCTGCCCAGAGCTGGTGTGGAGTCTCCTCTGGAGGTATTCAAACCTGCCTGGGTGTGTTCCTGTCCAACCTGCTCTGGGTGGACCTGCTTTGGCAGGGGGGTTGGACTAGATGATCTCCAAAGGTCCCTTCCACCCCTGACCACTCTGTGATTCTGTGTAATTCTTTCTATGTCTGCTGATCCGCTGGAAGATGACATTCAGAGCTGCCAGGTTGAGCCTGAAGAGGACATCCCAAAGAGTTCCCCATTTGACTTTGTTATGAAACAGTTCCAAGGGAAGAAGTCCTCTCCTGGAAAAAGAGAAGAGCAGCCTTCAGCCATCAAAAAATTCTTCAAGGGCTTTGACTTTGGGAAATCTGAAGGCAAGAACGGAAGGGAAACCGAAGAAACAGAAATAAACAACTCTGGAGCCAATGATCAGAGTGAGAAGCAAGATCTCTCTGTAGAAGGTAATGCTGGTATAATAATTAAATATGTGTGCATATTATATATTTTAGTTTCATAGAAAATCAGTTGCTTTCCTTGCTAGCCAAAAGCCTGTATTTTGCCACCCACAGTTAATCCTTTAGCCAGGATTTCCTTCTGATTGGAACATTAGCAAGGATGTGCCCTCTAATTTGATAGGTGCCAAGCGAGGAGTGAGATCCATGTTGCTGAGGAGGGATAAAGCTTTTGGGTCCCCTCTCTCTTGATCTCCAATGTGAGAGGTCAGTGCTGGAGTCAGCTCTTTAGTGGCAGAGCTTATTTGGTTTCAAAGCCAAGCTTTGAGCAGTAGCTTGGCGTGTTGTATTTAAGACCGGTCTCTGTCCACCCTGCTGCTAAAGCAATCTGAAGACAACAGGAGCAGATGTTTCCTGCCACTTGACACTGGGAAGGGGGAGGGGAAGGGAATGGAAGTTCATCATGTATGTTATTTTGCACACACAAGAATAATCTTTACACTCACACCAGAGAAAATGAGACTATTTTTAAAAAATAGAGATGGAGGGTGAGGCTTAGAACTCCATCTTTTGTCCTAAGAGTTTTTGGTAGGTTTGGGCAAACAAGGAGGCGGCAGCTACTGAGAGCAGGGTGGCTATTATTTGTAGTTTTTCATTGTTTTTTTCCAGTTACAGGCATTAGATGAAATTTCTGATTTTTTAAAGGGTTTAGCAATGAATTTAAATGCAATTTTCCTCGCTGAACAAACTGCGTGGAAGAAGAAGGTAAGTGGGAGTTGCTTTGGAAAGCCAAGAAAAGCAGGAACTGCCTTACACAGGCAATGGATGAAAATGAACACAGGGTGTCATGAAGGAAACAGCAGTTTCACCACACAACTGGGGGGCCACTCGGTGCTAACGGATCAAATGCAGGCTGTATTGCAGCAGTGTGGGTACAGTGCAGGCACACACAGGTGGTTAAACGACTTCTGTATCCAGAAAAGTGAAGGAAACAGCAGTTTCACCACACAACTGTGGGGCCACTCAGTGCTAACGGATCAAATACAGGCTGTATTGCAGCAGTGTGGCTACAGTGCAGGCACACATAGGTGGTTAAATGACTTGTGTGTCAGAAAACCTGCAGTTCAGAGTTTTGCATTAATTTCACGTCCTTGAACACCCAAAGTCACTGGCATACAGTGGGGTGGAGATGTGCAACAGGAGATTCTTCTCTCACTCTGCATCAGGAGCTTTGTAGTGACCTTCTCTATAGTGATTTTATCACTCATGGTCCACATTGATCAAAAGTATAGCCCTGTTTACTAACAGATTTAGTTAATTTCCTAAAGACATCACCCGACAGCCACAGACAGGTTTTACACGTTTTGTTGATAGCAAAGGTAACCAGGGTTTTATTTCTTTGTTACTCAGATGGACTTTCACATCACATTTCTGAAGCGGAGTCACCATCTGGTGAGCAGAGATTTAACCAGTTCATGCAGAAACTGGGAAAGAAACCCAACAGCAAGAATTTGGATCTAACTAATTGTGAATTAAGTGCAGCAGATGTAACAGAGCTGGGTAAATAAGTATTTTATTCAACTAGTCACTTCATACATTTCTTTAATCCTTATTTACCTATTCAATTATTCACTCTCCTCTTTTCCCTTCCCTTGCTTTTATACAGGCCTGCCTTTATTTAACATTCCATCTGGTGGTCCCAGGTCCCTAAGAAATGTTAATTAATAAGTTCACAGAATCTTTTATATTATATATCTATGAATATAAAAATCACACAGTTCTGTGAAACAGATGAACCTTCTCACACTCAAACTACAGAGAAGAAAACTGAGGTACCAATTGTCATGGCTTTATAACGCTGTGTTGGTTATAGAATTCATCTCTGTATTAAGATGTATGGATGATATTAAGATGTATTGACATGCAGGGTGTGCAGGTAACATGCAAACAGATACACATTTTCTTTTTTTTTTTTTTTTTACAGCTTCTTTACTGCCATTTCTCCCAGAGCTGGAAGAGATCAACCTGTCCTGGAATGGGTGTGTTGGTGGGACTTTGAAAGCTCTCACTGTTCATCTTCAGCACGTGAACCTATTAAAAGTCCTTCGACTTAACAACTGCAGGCTGACAGCTGAGGATGTCACCTCCTTAGGTACAGGATTTCATTGCCATTTACTTCCAGACAGCTTGGGTCTAATGTAATCCATCTCTTCTCTTCCTACATCCTACTCCTGCTCCTTCCACACTGGGCAACATAAACTCCTGCTGGGAAGCAGTAGAAAGAACTGGGGCTTATGAGTGACCTTATACATTTGAGCAACTCTGCCGAGTTCATTCCTCAGGGTATGAAGCTTTCATGTTCAGAAGGGAGCAGAATTCAGTCCTATTTGCAGGAAAGCATGTTTTCAATTTCGATTAGTATTTTTCTTGCTAGCTTTGATATCTAATGGTAGACAGAAGAACTGAAACAGAGTCAGTCGTAATAGGGTCAGCTTAGGTCTTCTTGCTGCAGGGCAGATGAGTGCTCATCACAGAAAAGGAAAATGGTCTTTTGGAGGAGACTTAAAACCAGAAGTGCTGCCTTGGAGCTTTATGACTTGTTTTTGCAAGTCTGGGAGAAGCTTATTCCTCTGCTTACTACTTTACTTGGAGTGCCTGCAATCCTGCTTTCTACAAAGTGTGAGATTTAAAGGTTTTAAATGTGGTGTTATGCACTGCGGTTCTGATGCTGAGTCACCTCTGGGCCTGGAGTTTACTCTGGGGTGGGTCTGTGATATATATCTAAAAGAAGGGCAAACTCCATCAACTAAGAATTATAAAAAACTACAGCTTATTTTGCAAGTTCTAAAAACCACTCTGAGTTATGAAACTGGGGCTTATGTCATTCATGTCCAGGCTTTTTCCAGGAAAGGTTCAGAAATAAAATGTCATATATGGTGAAATTTCAAAAGTGGATCATGCTACCTGTTGGGGAGGAAAAATGCATCTCTACAAAAGCTGGTGAAAATAATTGGTCTGTTTCTGATGAGGGTAAAAGCTGTGTTTCTTTTTCTATCAGATGTTTTTTTCAAATTTATTTAATTCTTTTTCAAACCCTTTTCTTATATTTATGGTTTTTTTTCTTGAGTTTCACTGGTTATATTTCCAATTGATTTATTCTGCCTGGTTCTTCTGTGCTGTTTCCTTTCCCTTATGGCTTGGCCTCTGCTGAGACAGACACAAACCTGATCATAGGATTGAAATTCCCAGTCCAAATGTGATGGCCTTAACATGTGGAATAGCAACAGTCAGTCTGCATTGATTTCACCTGCAGTTTTGAAAATAGCATGTGTATTTAGGCCAGTACTGCCTGTTTGGCTATTTCCACATCTGTTTGTGGAAATGTGGCCACTTGTGGACTTAGTGCTCAATAGAAATCAATAACTCAAATATAACTATAATATCAACTCTGTGCTATGTAATTGTTCAGAGTTGTGACGTGAGAGGTGGTAGGAAACTATTACTGGAGTTATAGCTCTTTATTTATCTTCTGGGTGGAAAATATGTCTGGAAAATGTGTCAAAGAGAAACAGGTTGTGCTGCAGAGGCAGAACCAATTCTCAGCTGTAGTGCATTGCTCAGCATTCAAAACTTAGGCAATAATTTAAAATAAATGCAAAAATAAAAATTAAGACATGCCCTTTTCTCTCAAACCTGGATATTCACTTACAACAACAGAAATAATTATTTTTCTATTACAAATCTTTTGTGAAGAATTAATTATGAAAACCCACAGACATGAAAGGGGTTTGTTATTAAAATACAGTTCTCAAGTATTAGGTTGATGAAGTGTGGTTGACACTTCAAAATTACATTTGTGTATGGTCTGATTAATTGATCTTTCTTGGGAATGAGTTTATATAAATATCCATCCACCTCCCTCCCTCTAGAAAGGAATTTAGGAAGCTGGATTTTTGCAGTGGGATGTTAGTATTATGAAGAAGCACTAACATGGATCATATTGGCAGGTGCATCAAGCCTGGAAAAGGCTTATTTTTCTGAAGGTAATCAAAATTGGTGTGTCTGCCTGGAAATCATGCAAAAGTTCATTTGGGTCTAAACAGAAGAATCATCTTGATTCTTTATCAAGTGAATCAGAAATGAAACTGGGAATTTTCAGATATCACTGTGAGGGGACTTCTTTCATCTCCTCCAAAACGACCTGTGGACATGGTACAGAGGATGTTGGAAGTTTGCCAAATGAAACAGAGCAGAACGACACAGGACAGTAAATTATGACTTGTCACTTGTCTGGATTTCCCTATAGACTAGACTTTCTGGGTCCTGGCACAGGCCCACGACGATGGCCAAGCTGCCTGTGTGT